TCTCCTGGTTTAAATCCTATCTCTCTGACAGACATCAATTCATCTCCATTAACAACTCCAAATCCCCCACAGCCCCCGTAAATCATGGCGTCCCTCAGGGTTCTGTACTTGGTCCCCTTCTGTTCATCATCTACATCCTCCCAATTGGACAAATCCTCCGTCAACACCAACTCCAGTTCCACTGTTATACTGATGACACACAGCTCTACCTCTCAACAAAAACAATTTCTCCAACCACACACTCCCAGCTCAGCACCTGCCTCACTGACATGAAAATTTGGATGCAAAACAATTTTCTAAAACTTAACTGTGACAAATCGGAACTTATACAGTAATCATTGGCCCAAACTCACTTACCCGCTCAACCCAAGATTTTTCTCTTACCATCGATGGCTCCATTGTCAACCCCTCCACTCACATCCGTAACCTTGGCATCATCCTCGACCCCACCCTCAGTTTCCTCCCTCACGTCAACCAGGTCACAAAAAACACTTTCTTCCATTTAAAGAACATTGCCCGCATCAGACCCTCCCTCTCATCGACCACTGCTGAAACTCTGATCCATGCCTTTATCAAGGTTCAAGGTTCAAGGTTCAAGGTTCTTTATTGTCAATCTGACATAGTTACAGAGTAATTATGTAGTTGAAAATCTTATGTCACAGGCTTCTCCAACAATGCAACATAATAACATAATAACAGTAAGAGCAAGATGCAACATATAACATAACATATAACATCCCGACTGGATTACTGCAACAGCATACTTTTTGGATCAACTGCATTCATACTAAAAACGATATGTCCAAAACTCAGCTTCCCGCTTGCTCACCTCCACCCGACGCTCCGACCACATCACCCCTATCCTCCATGACCTACACTGGCTCCCCATCAAACACCGCATTGACTTTAAAAAATTACTTTTCACTTTCAAAGCCCTCAACCCGTCGCCTCAGGTCTGCTGAAGCTAACCTACTGCAGCCCTTCAGGACAAAGCTCTGGACCTGGGGTGACAGGGCATTCGCAGCAGCCTCCCCCACACTCTGGAACTCCCTCCCCAGCCACGTCAGATCCGCCAACACTCTCACATCATTCAAACAATCCCTCAAAACTCACCTTTTCACTCTTGCCTTCAACTCCTAATCAACTAACCCCTTGTCCTTATTCCACCTAGCTTAGCACTTTGTACTTTTGTTGTTATTTTGTTTTACTTGCTTGTAAGCGCTTTGAGCACCAGGAAAAGCGCTTTATAAATGTAATGTATTATTATTATTATTATTATTATTATTATAATGATTGATCATTAAAGTGTTCTCAAAGCTGGTAAAGGTGCAGCTAGTTTGAATGACTTTGTATACTGCAGGGTAGCTTGTGAATTTACTCCAGGTGGAACTAAAGTCTGATTTAAGGGCGCATTCACACCAGCCTTTTATAGTCCGGTTGAATCGAACCCTGGTTGGGTCGGTGTGAACACAGTCCGAGACCTCTTAAGTGAACTAAACAACCGGACTCTGGTCCGGTAAAATAGGTGGTCTCGGAACGCTTGCTTGTGAACTCTGGAGCGGTTCATTGCTGGTGTGAACGCAGTCCGCACCAAAACATAGGAAGCGTATATTTACGTGTCACAAGAACGTGGATGTCTTCAAAATCTTTAGCGAAAGAGTCTTTCAAGACATCCGCGGTTGTTTAGTTAAAGAGTGAAGCAGAATTAAGTGTTGAACAGTGTCGTGTAAAGTAAAAATGCTCCGTCAACTACATAAAAGTAAGAACACCTGTCGTCGGTGAAACGCCCCTCCTTACTGCAGAACATCTCTCATTATATGTGTTATAATGTTTTTTAACGGACGTTGTCTGATTATATAATCATATGCGCGGGCCGCTAGAGTCTGTTGATCTCCAGATTAACAGCAGCATGAGAATAACCTGCCGAAAGTGCCGATGCTCCATGGCGGAGGCTCCGGTAGAAATTGCCGGGATTTGCGTTTTTACCCTTAATGTCTGACCAATGGTTGAACATGGTTGAACATATGACTTGTGTTTAAAGTTTATAGTCCGTTTGAGTTTTGCCCGTGTGAACGCAAACCGAACCTTCTGCAAAATAAAACAATGTAACAAACTGTGGTCTGGTGCGCTCCAGAGAAGCGGACTATTAGGTGTGAATGCACCCTAACGCCGCCTACACACGGCGGCGTGCGTTGCCGCTTGGCGATGGGCGTGTCTTGAGCTTGGGGAGTTTACGCGAGCAACGCGACCAACAACCAATCACATGAATCTCCGGTTTGTATAGAGTGGCGAAGTCCCTCCCCTTCCCGGTGGACCTCCATGGGACCTTATTTCGGAAAAATGATGTATTGAAGTCAATGGAGAGAGAAAGATTATCTTTCGATCCCGTTTGAATTGTGCCACGAATTACACATATGATGTTTGTCAATTTAAAAGATAATTTTGCAAGTCAAAAAAAAAAAAATGTGTCGTAAAACTGTGAAGTAACACATCTGTTTGTGTGAAACGCTCAATGAACTACATCTCTGGTCAACAACACACGTCACCAAGATGGCCGTCACTACTGTCTTGTCAACAAAACGATTGACTACCCTCACTATCACCACAATGAAACACGTCCTGAAGAATGTCATGCAAAGCTGCCTGCCTGCCTTCCTTTGATTCTCTCTGAACTGCCTGGTCGTTTTAATGTTTAATGTCAACCATTTGTGCAGATAGCATGAAGTAGAAAAGATCGCTAGCGTTAGCGTTAGCATTTCTCCCCCGGGCTTAAATTGTGTATTATAGAATGACCACACCGGTGACAGTACTCTTCAAAGGGTTCACGAAATATGACTACTACTCTTACTGTTTAACATTTTGGGTTACTTAATGTTACTTCATGTTAAGGCTAATAAAAATGACAAGGCTGTAATGCTAACTAACGTGCTAGCTACTAGCTAGGTAGCTAACTTGATCAAGCCACTCCTGGTCCTTTCATCAGACGGGAAGCAAAAGAACGAGCAAGACCCATTGCTGGTATGATAACAACCTGGTACTAAGCACACAGGCATCTTATTAAAGTTATCTTATCTTAGCCAGCGCCATATAGATAGATTCTATCTATATGGCGTTATCTTATCTTAGCTATCTCTATTTTAGTGGAGGAAAACAATTGTGACATCACTTACGCGACTCTGGGATTTGTAGTCTTTCTAATTGCGTATTTTTCATAGTCTTATATTTCAACAGTTTTACGACAAACTGTGACTTTTTTGACATGGAAATGATTTTTTAAGATTGACAAACATCATATGTGTAATTCATGGCACAATTCAAACGGGATCGAAAGATAAGTTTTCTCTCTCCATTGACTTCAATACATTATTTTTCCGAAATAAGGTCCCATGGGGCGGAAGTAGATGGGCGTGACTTCGCCACTCTATCCCGGTAGGTGAACAGGGACTGAAAGCACCGGGTGATTCCCTACCGCTACGATTATTTTCTCCTCCATTTTTTGGCATATGAGGAAATGAACTGCGGTCTGGCTCTCCCAGCATACACGCGGTTTGATTGGCTAGCGCTTGTACTGGCAGATTTGCATACGCAGGATTTGATTGGCTGACGCCTCCGCCTCAGCTTCAAAAGTAGAACATTGCTCTACTTTTGCAGCGAGCACCGCGAGAAAAGCTACGCTTTGCTCCCACAATGCAGTTTGGCGAATCGTGACGTCACCCCATTCAAAGTGAATGGGCAGAAGCGTTGAAGCGTCAACGCACGCCGCCGTGTGTAGGGGCCGTAAGACTTGAATATATTTCACATCATTCATCCAAATCTAAAGTATAAAGTAATTAAAGGTATTAAATAAAGGTAGTGAAGTAAAAGTACACCATTTACCTCTGAATTATAGTGGAGTAGAAGTACAAAGTAGCAAAATGTTGAAATAATTAAATAAAGTACAAGTACCTCAAAATTGTACTAAGTAAATCTGCTTAGTTACTTTCTACTTCTGCTGATAAGTCTGATGATACATCTCAACTTCACTGGAGTTTCACACCGTAGTGCATCACTCCCCATTCACTTTTATGGATATGTATTAAAGTCAGAGTGGGAAAGTTTGTCTGTTAGTAAGAAACACTTTTTAACGTTGTTCTTTATTTCTCATATGTGAGGCTTCTAAAAGATAAATCCTAAGCGTTGGGGTTTGATATGAGTTTTCCTGACCCATTAGGCCTAATCAATATTTTGAAGTGCCCTCAAATGAAACTTATTTTTTGCCAGTCTAAGCTCTGAGATCATGACAGCCTGTCTCCACAGACCCTACATTTAATCTCCAGTCATTTTAACTTGTTTGTACGCATTTAGTAAAGTAAAAAGCAAAAACTAAAAAAATTGCATTTACTTTTCCTTTTACTGGGTAAAGAAAGAAACACGATTGAAATTGTTTTCATTTCTTATTCTTTTTGCATTTTTTGGAACTCAGAGTAATTTCAAAGACAGCATCGATGCAACTATCTTTAAAGTCTTTAGAAGATACTAGACTCAACCGTTTTTTCTGCGATGAATGATCACAGATATCACCCAAGGCAGCAGCATACTGTCCCCTGTCTACAGACACCTGCACAGCATTTGGTTTGGAAGGAAACTTTCTCCCGCCGTATCTTTCAAACTGAATACATGGCTACAACACGTGACAATACATCCATCGGTTTAGCCAATGGTGTAGCCTACCATGCTGGACACGTGCCGAAAGGGAAGAAACCATTTGTGCAACATGGACGGGGGGGGGGGGAGTAATGGCTCCAAGTGGAATACATGAAGGATTCATAAAAAGTATAATACATAGTGCGCACTATAAACACACAAATCTAAAGGGACTTTCGGGGCTTAATAAAACAACTCTGAAATTGCAGCGTGTGGCCTAAATGCCAACGTATTCGATATTTGAGGTCTTATTTTGAAGGTCTTGACCGGAAGGTCTGTTTTTTTCCTCTTACTTCTCCGTCACTTCCTCTCTTCTTCCTTTAACCTCCACAGCTGAGCAGCTCTCTCCTGTTTCCTCAAAGTGAAGGACAGCATGGCTAGTGCTGCTGTTGACAATATGTCGACTCTTTTATACTTAATGTTTGAATCGTAAAGGCTTCGTATGGATACAGTTGGTGGGGATAACTGGCGGAGACGCACGAGGAGCGCGCGAGCCTGCTCCAAGCCAACCAGAGCGCGAGCTGACGAGTCCAATGTGCTGCGGTGTCTGAGCGTGGGGAACACGGAAGAAGGCCATGACATGGAGGAGGACATCGGCCTCAAGCAGGACAGCCTGGAGGGACGAGTCATGTCGCCCCGCTACAGCCTGCTGCGGGAGGTGGGCAGGGGTACCTACGGCGTGGTGTTTGAAGCGGTGGCCCGGAGGTCCGGGGCCAAAGTGGCCGTGAAGAAGCTGAGATGCGACGCGCCGGAAAACGTGGAGCTCGCCTTGCAGGAGTTCTGGGCCCTGGCAAGCCTGGAGAAACGGCATGAAAACGTGGTGCAGCTGGAAGAGTGTGTGCTGCAGAGGAACGGCATGGCCCAGAAGATGAGTCACGGGAACAAACGGTCCAAACAGTACCTGCGTCTGGTGGAGACTTCTCTGAAAGGTGAGGCTACCGTGAGCTGTGGGAAGAATGTGCTGCCTTCAGTTTAGAATTGAAGTTAATGACATTACCTTAATACTTCCGAAACTAACCTAAGCTGTAATGGTATAAGGGTTATATTTAAAATCGCAAGTTGTGTGTATTGCAGTTATGAATCTTACCCTGCAGGAGATTGTTGTTGTCGCCATGACATAGTCGTTGGGGGTTGGGTAGTTTTGAGAGAGCTCTCACTAAAATGGAGTCTGCTGTGTTGGCTGTGTTGGCTGTTCAGAGGTGTTTTACACTTTCCTCCTATAGTTTTCATTTTGTGTTCTCATGTGCTGTGTGCTGGTTCCCTTGTGTGTCTATTGCAAGTTGTGTGGCCTCTGTGATACATGTGTTTGCAGCTGTGTGAAGATATACCTCCTTTAAATTATGTGATCTGTTCACATCAAATAACAAAATACCAGTATTGTTTTAGCATAAGTATACAGTCCATGAATATTGGGTCCACATCAGTAATATTACAGTGGTTCAACAGTTTTAGTTTTTAACTCTTGCTGGCACATTTGCTGCAAATCGAAATACACCAAAGCATGTTGGAGATGTAGAGATACCAATAAATATAACTACACGTGAATAACCTCTTCAAGAAACACCCTGTAGTAGAATACAGTGAATGAAAACATTACGTTCAGAAAGTTCGGGTGCACAATACCCATTCACTCTTTCAAATTATGCAAATACAGGTGCATGTAAAACACAAATATATCTAATACATCTGTAGCTGATGGCCAAATGTATTTTCTAAATGTAAATCATTTATCTGTATTTTCATTTATTCTCTTTTTTACTTGGCACACGTCGCTATTTGGAGTAGTGTGCATCAATGTGAAACGATTAAATGACTGAGTCGCATGTGTTGCAGGTGAGAGAGTGCTCGGTCCTCCAGAGGAGCCGTGCTACCTCTGGTTCGTCATGGAGTTCTGTGAAGGCGGCGACCTCAACCAGTTCATTCTGTCCCGGAGGCCCAACCCGCAAACCAACAACAGCTTTATGCTCCAGCTGACCAGCGCCGTTGCTTTCTTGCATGAAAACAACATTGTCCACAGAGACCTCAAACCTGACAACATCCTCATCTCAGAGAGATCAGGGACTCCAGTTCTCAAGGTGGCCGACTTTGGTCTGAGTAAAGTCTGCGCTGGTATAGGAAACACAAACGTTGGCGAAGACAAGAACAAAAACATTAACGTGAACAAGTTCTGGTTGTCCTCTGCGTGCGGCTCAGACTTCTTCATGGCTCCAGAGGTGTGGGAGGGCCACTACACGGCCAAGGCTGACATATTTGCCCTAGGCATCATCATCTGGGCCATGTTGGAAAGAATTACCTTCATTGATGCTGAGTCTAAGCGGGAGCTGCTGGGTACCTATGTGAGGCAGGGAGTGGACATTGTGCCGGTGGGTGAGGCACTGCTAGAGAATCCAAAGATGGTACTGAACATCCCACAGAAACGCAGGTCGTGCATGTCTGACGGAGTGAGGAAGCTGCTGCAGGAAATGCTCGCCGTCAACCCTCAGGACCGGCCCGATGCGGTCCAGCTGCAGACCCGAATGGACCAGGTCACCTAGGTGTGCTGCGTGACCTTCAACCTGATAGATTTACAGGTACTTATGCCTCTTCATATGATTACGTTATGAATTTTAGCATTTTTTTTTTATCAATTTGAAACTCTTATAACCACTATGTAGAATACATTAAAGCCATTCTTCCCCCAGGGTAACTTATGGCGCATTTCCACTACAGCTCGGAGCTCGCTTTAAGCGTGCCGAGCCGTGCGGGGCCCGTTTTTGGTTGCGTTTCCACTTAGCGTAGTACCGGCTAGCGGGTACTATTTCACAGTTTTCTGGCCCCATAAAATTTGAGGTTCTTTCCGGGCCAACAACCAGGCTGAACTAAACTAGTGAGAGAATCACTGGCAAGGGGGCTACAACAAGATGAACATATTTGACCGCTCGAAAGCGCTGGAGACGCTGTAGTACATATGCCGGGCCTGTAATTTAGCAACATGTAGTAGTTCATGTAATTCTCCATGTCCACTTGTTGCTGATGGTTGTGGTAGAGGAGCTGTAGATTTTGCACTAACATCTGTAGCATGGTCAGTAGCAGTAGCACTAGCAGTAGCTACTGACCATGCTACAGCAGTGAGCAGCAGAGGTGGGGCTATGGCTTCATCGTTATCAGGAAATGATCGTATAGGGCGTACACACAGAGCCGTTTGGCCCCCCAGAGCGTTCCGTTTGCAGATCTATCCACCTTGGGACCCGTTATCGTTTGCGGGGTCCGTTTCCGCATTTCCGTTACGGCCTCGTATGATACGAAAGAGAAAAGTAGGGGATACAACCGTTTGCGTTCTCGTGTAAACAGCACCTTATTATTTCCCTGATAATGCTACAATGTAAACAACAAATCTGTGTTGAATTTGTCAGGAGGAAAGCTTAGTTCTATTAGCGTGTGTTCAAGTTCCATTCAGTAAAAATGCCTTTTAGCCCCGAGTCAATTATAGCATTATCATCATGCCAACTGCAATCTCGTAAAAACATTCTTTTAGTGTTTTTTACCGTGGTATCCAACACAAGTAGATGTGTCTAGCATATACAGTAGAGACTCAACCATTAGCCTAATGTTCCCACCAACGTCTTTACTCAACTACTTACAGGAAACTTTGTCTAAGTTTGAGCATGCTTTTGGTGTTGGCTGAAGTTCCATTTTATGAAGTACCTGCTGTGGATTCAAGATGTCAGGGACTAATGTAAACTTGATATTGACTTAGGTAGCATTTGTCAGGAGCCTAATACTCCACATCTATATCAGATTATTTTTGTCCTCAGGTCTGTTTTGATGGCTGGCAGTCAGTTTCAGTTTGAGGTGTTGATGAAGTGAATGGTTAACAGTGAGGGTGGGGTTTGTTTAGTGTCTTGCCCATAACACGTTTTGTAACTTTAGTGACCACCCTCAGTGTATGTGCTCTTGTACTGTCTTATGCAACCAAAGCCTCAGCCGCCCCCTGGGGGCCACACATCCTTCAGCACACAGATGCCTGTGTTTTTAAGAGGTTGAATAACATGCCCTGGCTGCCCCTGGTGTGTTCTACATGTAACAGTTAGCTGTTAGTTGTCCATCAACTGAGCTACCAGAATGTCTTTCTTATGTAAGACATTATATCCTACCTTTTGTCTTTGTTTGTTCTTACGTCATGTGCCTTGCCCTGTGGGGGATGGGTAGTGCAGATTATGTGAGCATGGAGGCGGTAGGAGCTGCAAACATCCAGCTGACGCTCCCTCTGCTCACTCTCACCAGCTGAAATGACATTTTGCCACCAGTAAATGTCTGCAGTTTGTGGCCTTTATTCTTTTAGTTACATGACATAAGGTTTATATTTGTTTGAGTAAAACACTTAAGATTGTACCTACAGGGTGGTGTTGTGTCTCAGAATCAGAATACCTGTATTTGTCCCACAGAGGGGGAGTGTACGTTGTATCTGCCCTCTTAAACAAGTGATATTGTGTATGTGATTGTAATTACTTACTTACTAAAAACGAAGTAGATTTGATTGGCAATCTCAAAGATCAAACGTGCTCTGACATATTAACCCTCTGTGTGTGTGTGGATATCTAACACACACACAACATGTTACTTAGATGCACACAGAGAGCATTGCAATTTAAATGCTATCCCATTAACCGGACCATATCAGGAGGTCTGGCTCACGTTGAGAACAGACCCCAGTTGTGTGTAAATGCGAGAAAAGAATCCTCTTAGCATGTTCACCAACCAGCACTCTCAGGGGCCAGCCAGAAGCTGCAGGCTCGCCCTTCACTAAGATGGGAAAGTAAAGCCCATGCAGCAGCATTCTTTTTCCTCACATGCAACGCACCACGTTCCTGAAAAGTCGGCCAGTTATGTCCATCCGGTTTACAAAATGAGATTCAACCCAAACTACAGAACAGAGATTCCCAGAACTCTAAATCAGGGCAAGCATAATGTCCGGTAATCTGATTTCTTTACATGACTTCATAATAATATCAATAGTATGCAGTGTCTTTGATCACAGACTGCTTTTCAGGAACACATATGCTGTAGAGCCAGATTTAACTTCTAATATGATGTTTGTCTCTTTACACACATTCCTTAGTACAAAACCTAAAAGTATACCTTTCCATGAAATTGTAAACAAGGCTTTTCCAAGGTATTCTGGGAAATGCATGATTTTTTCAATAAATTGTAAAAGATGAATGTACACCAAAGTACAGAGATGTGCCGAGCTGGGCTAAGATGAAGCCGAGTGTGACACCACTCTGTCTGTAGTAGACAAACTATTTATTTGGTCACACATTTGTTTTGATTCAATATCATTAATTTGACTCAGACCCTCACTATTTGGATCAGATATCTTTTTAAAATCTGGTTTGCAAATTCTAGGAGGCTGCAGGAGTTTTCTCAATGTGTCCCATACGCATGGAATCAACCCTCAGTGTTCTGCAAGCCTGTATTTAAAAGGTGTTTATTACATTACTTTAGTAATTACTGTGCGCTAGTTCTGTTTTACAATATAGTGTGCTGTAAAGAGAAAGATGGCAATATAAAAAGAGTGTTTGTGTGACGCAGTTTTTAATAGGTCAAGGGATGGAGTGTGAGGGAGAGAGTGTGTGTGTCTGCAGTATGAACTGAGCAGAAACGTAGCTGGGTAGTGTGGGCGCAGTATGTGTATGCAGTATGCGAGTCAAAATAGTTGATTAGGAAAACCCTGAGTTAACCTCGCCCTGCGTGTTGCTTTGGCTGCCTCCACATTCATTTAGCTAGACATATCATTGTGTGCTATTTCCTACCAAAGGGTGAAAGCAATACGATACCAAAAAAGGAGGTCATCTGGAAAGACACATCTTGTTTAGTGTTTGTCAGAGATGCACCCATCGTTTGGCTGCCCAAACATTAGGTTCATCTGTCAGCTGATCGTCATCACGATCAGTCCAGTATATCTGCAAGTCAAATTCACACACGTATGATCAGAAAACAGCTTTTGTTTCTGCCTACCACAAACTCCATTTAACTCACCTTTCATTTTACTGGGATGGGGACAAAGGTCTCGTCCAACCCTCAACATTCAAATGATATTCATGTGCTAGGGTTCAGGGAGAAAATGTATTTGTGATTTAGGTCAACTCAGCTCTTAGGTATTAGAATGTGTCTTCTACATTCTGGAACTATTTGATATGGTGTGAAAAACATGGACAGAGGCACTCCAGATCATATTATTAGCCAACAGCCTTGTTAGCACAACAGACTGTGTTCTGGTACGTTTATGTGGCTTCGTTTTAAGACCAAGATGCTACATAAAGTGACATGTCAGCTCTGGCCATTAAAGCTGGCTGTCTCTATGGGCTGCAGGATCAAGCTCTCTTTAAGTCAGTTATGTAACAGTGTGCGTGCGGAAAATCTATCACTGCATAGCTGGGCACACACGCAGTATCTGAGTGACAAGCCAAGCGGCTGCACATCTCTAACACAGCAGTCCCTCTCATGGTGCTGCAGGAACACAGAGACTGCCCCTGCATCCTCTCTGCTGCACGCTCACTGAGGAGCCTTAAAACAGGGCTATTTACACTGTCACACTTATGGCGCATTTCCATTGCAGGGCCTCACTCGGCTTAGTACGGTATAGTTAGGCCTTGTTAGGACTGGCTCACTTTATGCTGCGTTTCCATTACAGTTTAGTAGCTGGGGCAGTAACAGGTACTGATGTGATCACCGTTGGGATATTCTTTGTACTGCAGACAGTGAAGACGTGTGTTCTATCAATCAAAGGGCGGGTGCTGAAGAGTGAATCAATGGCTCAATATGTTTGATCAAATACCTCTATTGATACATTTTGTAGGTTGTTTTGTTATACAAATAATTATTGGGAATCTGCATATAATAAATAAGTGGGTAAGGCAGATAATGGAATAGCTAGAACTGTCATTTTCTAAAATCACTTTACTGTAATGTAGCCTTAAACACCAACTTACAGAAAGAAATACTCAAGATGCTATAATAAGATTGAACAATATCTAAAACTCTCCTCTCATACAGTATTTTTATAATAATATATAGTTCGTAGCCCTGTCATTTCACTCTAAGCCTTGTGGATTGGACTTGGTGAGATCTCATTGGATGTGTGCATAATAACAGAAATCTTCTGAGGAACTTGGATATTTCTTTATGGCTGCAGGCATTTGTTTTGGTATTGGTAAACCTTCCATTCAATTTCTAGGTGGGGTAACTATTCATCTGGTCTGAGAATAGTGATCATTTCTTAGAGCCCAATTCATACTGCTGACTCAGTTGAGATTCAGTTGAAATGGAGCAAAACGTTTCTTTTTGTACAGAACCAGAAGGAGTTTGTAGTCTTCTGTTATGTCATGACAATCCTCAGTTGATTGGTTATTTCTTGTTGACATTTTGAGTTTAGTGCTTGATACTTGTTCTCAGCCTTCCAGAGGTTTTAACAATATTCCAGACACAGGCATGGTTCTGTGTGTGTGTGTGTGTGTGTGTGTGTGTGTGTGTGTCACATGGACGCTCTGTAAACTCTGGGATGTGTTGCTGTTGTTGATCCACTTTACTTTCTTCTTTCCTCCGCAGACGTTCTACGGGAGCTGCTACATCAGTGAGGGCCTCACTGTTCAACCTGAAGACTGTGAAGAGAAGCTGAAGTTTGGATGCTAAAATGGGATTTGTGTTTTCTTTGAACTTGTTTACAGTGTGATCATCTGCCAATGCTGATAGAGAATGTTTGTCTTGCCCTAAAAATGATAATGAAGCAGGAAATAATGAAGATGTGGGGAGATTCCCGTTGGATAACAAGTTGGAGACTCTAAATGTAAGCTTAAGTGCCGGATTACTTTATGTGCAGGTGTTCACAGCGTGGGTCATCTCCATGTGTCGGATATTTTAATCATATTAAATGAACACACCGGGACATTAGATTCACAATACTGCTGGAAACATGTCACTTCCTGTGGGGGTGTTTCTGTTATTGTGTCCAACACTTCAGTGTAGGCTGGTCTCATGCCAGATGTTGCTGACACTTAGGATTGTATTGCACCTCTGAGAAACCACCGCTTCATGGTCTGGAAGAACTAGAAAAACCGTAACGCCCCTTCTGTTGCGGTTTATTCCACAAATCTGTTGGTTAACATGGAAGAACACTACATAGGAGTCATGGTTGGTTATTAGGTGCGAGTGTGTGTATATATATTTATATATATAAATATGTAGATATATATATACACATATCTCTCAAATACAGCCATTATTTATATTCCTCTGTTTGAGAGTTTTGGCTAATCTAGTGAGTGAAATACTTGCAAAGAGCCTGTGAATTAGAAAGATGTGACATCCATTGATTCACAGCATTGCCTGAAAGTCTTCCAGTGAGTCACCTTGGTATACATTTGAAAAGTCCTCGTAAAACCCATCCCATTTTGCCTGTGGGCGAATCTGAATATGTGTAGCTTCCACACTTCTTTGCCTTCGACTAGTTACCTTGATTTCAGAGATCAGGTTCTTTTTTCATTTCGATGCGACTTCATTGACATGTGCTCCTTGAGTTCCTTTGTAATCTCATTGTTTAAACCTATGGTGCCTTGAATTTGCTAGTCAGGTCAAATTTGGCTCACAGCCGTACAGCTGTCATATTTGTGTATTCTTTTGCAGTCCAAATGCATTAATGATTTATGCTCTAAATAATTTGGTTTCTAACCACAAGAAAAATATGGATTTCCAAGTTTCCCATGTGTTCATTTGAAAGAAGACGATATATGTTTTCTTATTTTATAGTTTTTCTGTCGGCCATTGATTTGTTGTGTAAATGACTATTAAAGGGAACTGAAGATTGAATGTTAATTTGAATAAGTGCCATTAATGTTAAAGGAGCTAAATGATGTCATCCTGTAAACTTTGATGCAAAGATTAGTTTTTTTCTTGAGAAATAATCACACTTGAAGTGTTGCTAAATTCACAGCCGTTTTTGAGATGTGATTGGTTGAAGTTTCGGAGCAGTTTGGAACACAGTGAATCACAGCTGAATATTGTAATTTCCCCCCTAAAACCAAACGTCTGAATACACATGTTGAACCCTGAATCTTAATCCTGTTTTTATTTGTACTACCTCATTGTCTTCACTGAGCCATCATTTAATGTTCCATTCCTCAGTTCGAGAGGACCTGTTAGATTCCCCGGAGGAGGTTCAGTTTTCCCTGGATTGTGAATGCATCACAATAGTCTGTAATAAGTGACTCAGCTTTTGACTGCTTCGTTTCATTTTTGCTGATGCATTGTGAGAAATTGGTTTACATTCATTCAAATGTTTACACAACTTTAGCTCAACACACTTCATAATGTTCGTTGGTTATTTTGTGCATTATGTGAAAAATGTACCTCTGTTTCATCACAGTATTAGCGTCTGGTAGTGCAGGGTATTAATCATTTTGAACTGGAGATGAGCTAACGGTAGAGCTCCCACTCAGTTCTTTATTCTGATTTCTGAGTTGCTTTTTGACTTTAATTTAGAGGAATGTACTTAAAGAGATTTAAGCAGACCTTGAATATCCCCCCGCCTCTGCAGGGCTTCCTCAGGAGAAATGTGTGCAGGAACGCTGTAGTGACTCGTATGTCACTTGTTACACTCTTCTATGCAACTCTGCCTCCCTAATACACTGTGGATTGTTCATCCAGGCCCAGCTGATTGAGTCCTTGTTGTGCTCCGATCAATTGACCCTTTATTTCAACACAATGTGCAGTTCTGGTTGTACAAGATAGTAAGGTTGTTTTTTTTTTATTGCTGAATTTGTACCAAGGCTCTGTTTCAATAAAGGTCGGTAATACCTCATCTGTGTCAATTCTCAACATGTGTATTATCAGGAGATGTGGGAGTGATGAAAATACTGTGCATGTTAGCTGGGTGTGCCCATTCCAGCCCGGCACACATGAACTGGGAAAATAGAATAAGTGACAGGTAGCTGATCATTCCTGCAGTTACGCTTTAGGTGTTCACTGACTTGTATAACTTGATTTACTGCTGCGTTGTGCTCCGAGGCAATTAGATCAGATGTTAGGCTGCCTGTAGATCCTCACATTGTAGTATAAATAAAATCATCTGCATTGCAAAGACTGACATTTTTATTTTTGCATTTCTGTAAACAAATCATAAAGAGATCTCTCAAAAATACCCTCTGGTCCCTCCCCTGTCTGTGGCAACTAGGCCAACCATTTCTTTGTTGGCAGCTTGAGATTGGGACAACGTTTCTGAACTTTACTAAATTACTAAATCGTAATTGACTTTTTTTGAGGGGCTCCGAACTGATGCTTAAAAATAAAGCATGATAACCAGACAAAAATGGACCCCTCTCCTCTGCCCAATGGCCCTGTACAATGTCATTAGACACATTTTGAAAGCCAGTGACTATTTTATTTGTTTTCTTAGTTGGTTCAAAAGTTGTAATGGTGTGTAACATCACCTGAAACCTGTCACTTCACACACTGCGTGTCCTTAAAGAAACAAGTATTGAACCATTCACTATGGAGCTTTATGAACTGAAACAACATTTCAACATTAAGATGCTGATCATATGGGACAAACAAGAGAAATAATATGAAAAAACTTAGAAGTGTAAAGATGTAAAACCCTCCCTTAGGAGAAGAAATGTATTAATCTCACTTTACTTCTCAGGCTCTTATATGCTCAGTAACACATGAACATCATGTTGCCCCCTGAAAAGCACTGCCCATAGCCCACTTTGGTCCTTTTACTTTAAAGAAACATTTAGTTGTGTATAATAATTTATTTAGAACATAACATGTTCATGGCAGTGGTTTTGTACAAAACATCTGCCCTCCCTCGGGACCCCATTAAACATACACCAAGCGTGAATGGAATTGGTCTGAGTGTTGGCGAGATTATCAAAACTTTGTCTGTCATTATAGTCAGATTACATTTACCACGAGTTATGTTTCCTCCTGTCCTGTGCAGCTCTGGTCTGCTCTTTGTTTGGGAGCTGAACAAAATGTGGAGTTGACAGGCCGTGATCTGTGTAATTAATCCCTAACAATGGCGCGCTCATCCCCCCTGAGAGTTTCCCAGGCCTGAAAGGATGCACAGTTGGAATGTGACAGGGCAAACATTGACCGGCAATCAGCATGAAAAGCAGGATCTGAGCGTTGGTGAGTGTGCAGGGCAGATGTTCAGGGCTGTACCTCAGGAGTCAGGACGGTTCAAACTTCCTCCCCAGCCGGTGGGACCGAGGCTTTCTGCCACACTAAACACCACTGACCTTTGGACACAAAGAGTGGGTTTTTGTGGGAGAAAAGAAGCATTTTCTCTGGCAATATGCTAAACCCAGAGTGCTGTTACTGTTATGTACATGGGCGTCACTTCGTTAGAAAAACTGGTTGGGCCACTTTTTTCCGATTTCAAAAAACACTCCTGCAGTAAGCACCCCCCACAAGCAATACAGTATATACATATATACATATGATTACAATACTTTCTTTGACAACTAGTACAGTAACTATGCTGCTGAAAAGAGGGAGCAACAATAGCTTTACTACTTTCTATTAAATTATGACTGATATTAAACGTGTCGCAGGTCCAAACTGCACCATTTGGGTTGGTTCACAGAAATACAAATTTCTTGCAAAGTTCTTCCTATGACAATACTCCCCCTCAGACACCTCAGTGTGCATAGCATGTATGACCCCCCCTCCCCCCCACATCACGTCTTGAGTTAATCTTTGAGAAGTGAAGCATTCCTTTGATCTGGAATAGATTATCTGCACTTCACCTAATTGTATTGCTTACTTGCTTAATCACACTGAAGACATCAGAATATAAAAGTGATCAATCAATCATCACTGATCAGAAATGCTGAGTCATGGTCTCACCCATAGCCGTCCCTCCCTGCAGGTCGATCATGCAGCGAGGCCTCACTCACCTCACGGGCTCCACTAGCACCCCCCCCCCCCCCCCGTTGACTCGCGAAACAGAGGGCCTCATCATATACTTTGTGTGGGGCCTCATGTTGGCCAATTTTGGTCCGGCGTCATTAAGCGTCTTTGAGTTTCCTGAGAAGCGCTATACAAGTCTCATGTATTATTAATATTATTGTACCGTACCGGGCGCGTTTCAGAAGCATTTCAGAAGCGGAGCATGTTGCTCGCAGTTTTTGTTGATTTGGGCATATTTCCTGGACAGGCTACTTTGTACAGACAAAGTTAATAATAATTGTAATATTCCAGTTATAAATGACATGAATCAAAGATGTGTTGCTGTATTTTAGTGGTAAAAAATGCATTCATCATCATAATTATTCTATATATATAATTTACACAGTGCCTGTAAACCGGAGGAGAACCCTGGCATTTAGTAGCACCCATTGACTAGAGTGGCCGCGATCTTTGCGAACGCCGCAGCCAGGCCCGGACTGGCCATCGGGAGGCGATGAGCGAGAGAGAAAGCACGTGCATCGGTTACGTGTATTGTTGTTGTTAGCATCTGGTGCTAGCTAGCTGCGCTAACGGATATAAGGAGCTGTTTCAACAACGAGGAGAGTCCTCTCCTGTCAGACTGAGAGACTGATAACTACAGCTCAGATGAGGTAAAGGACTCTCTGAGTGTTTAGATAGTTAACTTAGTCTAAGTTCTCAGTGGGTCTCAAACGGTTTGGTCACCATTTATGTAAACACATATTTCCATTTGAGGGGGGAGTGATTAGTAAAATATGCATGAATAATAAAAAAAAAATGTTAACTAGGTGAAAAAAAGTAAGATAAACTTATGGCCATGTTCTTATGATTTTATGATTATTTAAATGTATACAGTACTGTTTCATATGGGTGTTTCCATAGATCTAGTCTCTTTATTTCTCTCTCAAAATGCACCAGATTGATGCGTTTAACTCAAGCGGCAAACTCTGGGGAAGAGCCGGGACGCCAATACGGAAGTGCCACAAACTGCAGTTCATATATTGGCCGATAGGCGATGACTGCAGAAAGGAGCAATTTCGATAGACCCCCATGTTAAAATGCCCAATTTACAGCAGAAAAAAACATGTTTCTACCCCTGGATGCAATAAATATTATTATGGATATAGTTAGATTCCACCTTCATGATTATGAATCTGTGAGTGAATTGTTTTCTAACGCGACCCTTTTATTTATATTAGGTCTTAAAGTTTTTGCATAAATTAGGGCGTGGTCACTTTGATGGACAGGTACGTGCCTCACTGTCAGCTAACATCAACTTGTCCACTCTGCTAGGCTACAACGTTAGTTAGTTGTAGTTACTGTACTTGACCCTTTAGCCGTGTTCGTGGTGATTGTGCCTTTTAGGGAATATTGTTACAAATACCAGACAATTAAAATGTCGTGCTGTGCGCTTGAATGTACTAACAGAACTTCCAAGAAGTCTAAAATGATAATATTATACATGTTAACCCTGTTAGCAGGTGTTTGTGTGCTTGTTAGCTTAGCTTGTTATGTAGCTTATTAGCCAGCTAAGGACGTAACCCTTTATACATGTATATATATATATATACAGTTTAGTTTATGATTCAGCCTTGGGTAAGACTTTTATAGTATATGGCTATGACGCCCATAATGCTAAACGGGAGCAAATGTTAAAAGGGGACCCAATTATCCCAGTGGTGGCCGCCGGAGCTAACGGAGCCGCAGGGGGCTACGTTAGCTCCGGGCGGTGGAGTCCGGCGTTATAACTGGAGATCAAGGAATGCAGCGAAACGCGGACTTGGTTCGCCTGCAACCCGCTGTAGTATTAGCTAAATAAATTATGTTGAACAAGGCTTATTAAGCTGAACATCGCCACAATTGTTCTGCTATGTATCGGTACTTCTTTTATTTTATTAACGTGATGACAAGCATTAAGAATAACAAAAAATAGCTAATTCTCTTGCAGATTGTCTCGTTTGATTATGAATGTAACGTTTATATAGGGGAACTACACTGTTCAAAACCAAAAGTGCCACGCAGTAACTTGGTATGCATGTAGTTCATGTTAGCTTAGCCTGAGCTAGCTCTGTTACTTCCCAGCTGGAGGCAGCAGGTCCCGCTTGGCTCCGCCTCTTTGCCCTTATTTGGAGCAGGTGGGAGTTAGACTCTGACGTCACTGTCGAGCCGTTAGTGGCCGACTCCGCCTTCTAAGGGCTTCTCGGCAACTCTGCAGAATCCTATGGGTGACGTCACGGACACTACGTCCATTTATATATACAGTCTATGTATATAGACCCCTCTAGAGGGTTTGAGGTCCACCCCCACTTAAAATATGTTCACATGAATAGGTTCCTAAATAGATTTGCACATTTTTATTTAAATAGGATCCATATGTTTATTTTGGGGTAGTAGATTTAAACTATAGGGCTATCACTATGGGCAGCAACGCTGTAAATATTGACAAATAAATCCAGCAAAATGGCACAAAAAAAACTGGTAGTGGCCTGGCTGGGTGTATAATTCCCGGCCTGATTTATTGTCCCAGTCCGGGCCTGGCCGCAGCGCAGCCGTAACTCAGCCGTAACGCAGCCGTAACGCGACGCAGACGGACCCGGTGGAATCTAGGGGTCAGTGTATGAATGTGACTGGAGTGTCAGCATTAAGGAGTTCCATAACAGGCAGACCCCTCGATTCCACCGGGTCCATCTGCGTCGCGTTACGGCCGCGTTACGGCTGCGCTGCGGTGTTCGCAAAGATCTCCCCACTCTAGTCAATGGGTGCTATTCCACCAGACGCGTCGCGTTACGGCTCAGAAGCGTCCCAGAAGCGTCTCGACGCTGGGCACCGCTAAAAATAGGATGCAAGTCTATTTTCGACGTGAGGCGTTGCATAGCGCCGGGCAGGAAGTGGACCGGTCAGAGCATCCAGTCAATCCCCAAAATAAACTAATTTTGCAGACCCTATCCCTCCGTAGTCTTTCAAGTAGGAGGAGAAATGCCAGCGTTCTCCTCCGGTTTACAGGCACTGTGTAAATTATATATATAGAATAATTAAAATTAATTATATAATCATTTTTTTACCACTAAAATACAGCAACACATTTTTGATTCATGTCGTTTATAACTGGAATATTACAATTATCATTAACTTTGTCTGCACAAAGTA